TGCGGAAGACTGATAGAGGTGGAGGTACAACACACTCGGAACGTTTCGCGAAATATTATCATCAGCCATTCGGCCGTCCCTGTTGTCTTCCGGAAAATTATTAAACCGAACGAATTCTCGTTTGAAGAATGACCATAAACTTAAATGTACTACTTAGAAATTTGAGGACTTTCTATGCCGCTCGCTTTCGTACATCTTTTGTTTCCAATGTTGCACGGCAAAAGATAAAAATACGCGCGTTGAAGCAACCGGATATAAAATATCCCAGTCCATTAGGCTTGCAAAAAATAATATTGAGCTTTTATATAAAAAATATGCAAAAAAAAACCCGAAAAAAGTTCGTGTCAAAATGTATATAAAAAAAAAGAATTTAGGCGAAAGCTTCCGTCCGGCGGCTTATATTTCCGAGCGCTTATGACAGTTTCTTTTTATTTGCGACATCCCGGCGGTTTCTTTTTTTCTTTTTATTTTTCGGGGACTGTTTGAATGAATTTGAGGCTTGTTCATACTTCTCTAAAGGATAGGAATCGTCGGACTGAAGAAATACGTGTCTAGTGCGAAACGGAGATCCGTCCACAAGAAGAGGAAAGCCCTGAGATTATTTGAAATTGAACTCAGCTTCCCCTCCATTTTGAAGTTTGTGGGACAGACCTTTAGACTGCCGTGTGCCCGACCGACACGACCACCGAAGGAACTTTGTTTATGGGGATTGTGCGTCGGTCATGGCCTTTCGCAACCGTCTCTTTTATCTCATGCTGCCTGGCGTACCGAATACATATAGTTACGCAGCTTTTAGAAACAAGGGGCTCCTTGAGGGTTTTTCTCGCCCAAATACTAAATTCTTAGGTCATTTGTTTTCTCTTTTTTTTTTTGTGGCAAAATAGCGTTTTGAAATCTCGAAAAAGCTAGGGTATAACCAGTCTTGATATTTTTTTCACAAGGGTCTGAGTGGTTTAGGCCGTAAATTGCCACACAAGTGCCAGAATTGGGTTTCACTGCCCGGTAGTTAGGTCGTTTGTCATCTCTAAGCTTGAATTCCTGTAAAAAATGTCCAGAATTAGGTTTTGCTTTATTCAAAAACCACGAGACTGCAGGTAACGACACACACACTCAAAAGTCTTAAAGTATTTGCTGCTGTTTCTTCGGATGTCACGTGGAATCTTTGGCTCATCTTTGTATGCTAGCAACGTGTCAAGCAAAAAAAAAAAAAAAAAAAAACAGAATGTCCATTGCTGTGCTGGTTACCGAAAAAAAAAATACTTTGGTCCTAACTAACGCCTCGAAGCGAAACCTTATTAGGCCGAGGTTAGACCCCTAGGATTGCCAGGCTTAGATTAAGTTAGGCTTTCCTCTGATGTTCTACTTTTGTGAATGTTACGACGCTTTTGACAGGGTCTTGAAAGCAGTGCGTTCACAACAGTATATGTATGAATTCAAAACTCTAGCGCGTTTTGTGATGAGACTTGTCTTACATATATCGCATTGAAGTTGGCGGGCACCACGGCGTTGGGGAGGTGCGGAGACGCTCCACTTATGAATAGTTTGAATTAAAGTTGGCGTTTATTTTAATATAGGAAAATCAAAATAAAGACTCCGTTGGAGTGATTAGGCAAATATTCACAAAACTCGATAGTTAATATCCAAGTATACGTAAGCAGTGCGTGATATCAGCATATGCGAAAGCACTTCAAAGCAGTTGGGTGTCCGGGCCTTTTCTCTCCAAGACACTGAAATTGTTTGGCAAGATAAGAAACTTCTAGTGTTTACTCCAATATAATATTTATGTTTTGATGTGCGATGAAGAAAAATACAAACTAAAAGCGAACTACCCAAGTATTTAAGAAATACCTACTTATTATCCCCTTTGTTGTTGTTTTTTTGTTTTTACTTCAACTAGAAGTCCTCTAAAACAAATGCAAACTTATAATTTCAAGCCCTAAGTATGACTTGATACAAAGCAGGGACAAAGCGATCTTGAACGCCTCTTTTTTTTTTTAACTTCTTTTATTATGAAAGTGTCAATGCATCGAGCTATTCTTGCGAAAAGCACGCATATTGAGGTAGCTTCTATTGCATCAGTAAATTATATATTATGATGCAATATTCGCTGTCCCCTATAGTGCCAGCCAAAAGGGTTGAAATTCCGCATGGAATGCCTCCGGCAGGCTCAGCTGTGAAACAGATTGCCAGATTACGATAATAGGAGATATGGCAGTCTATTCCAACCTTTTTTTTTAACAGCTTAACAGCCCCAGCCTGTACGCCCCTGCGCCCGCTCATATGGCCGATCCATGCACCTTGGGATCACCTACAAATAAATATCATTTTTACTCATTGTGGAAAGGTTCTAAAAAAATGCACTGCATTCTGTTACAACTTATAATGGACAATATTCAAGAACTGTTGAATCTTGTTTCACGCTCTACGGGTCCTCTTGTCGCCTCTGTTTGGGATCTTCTTCTCGGATGGGCCACTTTGGAAGACAAATACCGTTTTTGTTGGATAGAAAACAAAAAGAACACCATGCAAGTGCCCAAATACTGCCGAATGCTCAAAAAGAGAGAGGGGAGGAGGCGGAGGGAGAGAAACAGAAGGATAGGATATAGTAAACCAAACAAGGTAAATCAGGAAAATAAAAATGTATAGCGCACGTAAACGAAATAGTGGAGACGTCCCATCCGGGCTCGTTGAGGGGGCAAAAAATATTAATAAGAAAAGCCTTGAGACTCTCCATCATGCAACACTCTGTGAGAAAAAAAAAACACATAGGAACGACACTAGTCGTGCGTTTCAGTTCTCCTTGTAACCCCCCCCCCCCAAAAAAAAAAAAAAAAAAATTCTGTTCATGTTTGAACAAATTATTAACCTGCAGTAAATATATACACTTGCGACAACTTTGTAAAGGCATATTTTTTATTATTAAAGATCAGATCCTCGAATTCACTGGTTGAGAGCTGAGGAGGGTTACTGAGGCCGGCTTGTGGACGAAGTTATTGAGCTGCTATGTGTTGCATTGCACAACCCTGAGATGCTGAGCGTTTTGCAGCATACTGACCCTTCCATTAATCGCCTTATGCTAGCCTCCATCTTTGTCTTCTTGTTTGTAGAAGGTATCCTGAACATGCGCAGTATAGCTCTGTTCTGCGGAATACCAGACGTTGCGAATGGGTCCAGAGCCTAGTGGGTCGGTTTTTCTCACCTGCTTGACAACCGCTATGAAGGTGAACAAAGAGCTGGTCAAGCGAAATATTTTTCGTTCTGCTTAAACAAACAATACAAAAACAAAAAAAGCGCGCATTTACGTAATTAAAATACCCATTGTGTACTTCGAAATCCGCATTGCCTGGACGAAACGCCGTAACCTAATGGCTGCCTCGATTTCCGCCCGATAAAGTCGTTGAGGTGTCAGTCAGCCGCCGGTCGCGACCCTGGCGGTGTCACAGCGGCGCTAGTGGATGTGGCAGACGCCTGTACCGCTGTAGGTCGCTCTCCATTGTGGCAGTCCACGGAAGCTTCGGCACCAAAGAAGTTGGGACGGCGCGACGACAGCGACGCCCCCTCCCGTTCGCCCGTGCTTTTCCTTGACATTTCTACGACACTCTGCCAGGATCGCGACATGCAGCAGCACGACACTGCGGCTCCTGTGACGTCATTTGTTTCCACTTCCGGACCACTTTTGATGTATGGGCAGCATGGGACGCTAAACACACCAGTCGAAGGCGCACTCCGTGCACCTTAGTATACTATGGTGCACGGACTAAGGTGCACGGACAGAACTCCTGTTCGGTCTTGTAGGTCCGAACAGGAGTTCCAGTCGATCTTTCTCCCATATCACCCGTGTGCAAAAGTTTCCCCGCCCCGGTATCCGGGAGGAAGCGTAAAACGCTTCACCGCTGCGGTCTCGTTACGTGGGAGACGTTGGCTCAACTAGTGTGAGCTCCTCTTTTGAACAAGCTCGGGTGGCTCAATTAATCCCGAAGAGTAACAATTTAGCACGCTTTCAAAATAGCGAGAGCTTTCGAGCATAAACGATGTAAATGTAATATAGTGATGCGAGCAATGCGAATCACAGCGATGTAGAAATAATTTAGGTGCATACTTTCTTTATGGGGTCACCCCATTATGAAGGATATACGGGGTTAGATCGAGAAAAGGAACCCCGGAATTTCAATCCCCATAAATAAACTACGCCTCGCAGAAAGCGGAAACTCTGTTGTATTGTGACTCCATCGGCGGTGATAAAGTGCGAAGGCGTATGCCGTGAGGTTACCTGAATCAAAATATACAAAACTAAAACAAACAGAAAAAATTGTATAACGCATGTCTACCTTAGATTAATATTCATCGAACCGAAATGTCAGATTGCGGGCGCCTGCAGCCCTTATTTCGCGGAAGAAAAACCTGTCCGTAAAAAGAACGATATCGTTTTTTTTTTTTTTTTTTTTTTTGTAAGCCGAAATAAATACTACATGCGCCCACAATATTTCCAGTTTGATGAGCATTATTCTTAAATAAACGCCAACTGGAATTTTTTTTAATTGCTTGATTTAGGCAACGTCATGTGCTCAAAATTTCGCATTTGATCGCCACCGCTATCGTCACATTCTCACGGAGTTATAGCTTTCCACGATGTGCAGTTTCTTTATGCGAGGCGAAAACAAAAACGAGCTTCATTTTCTCGATTGATTATGGTAACACAAATTACAATAGTGAAAGGTGTGTTTTATAAGAGCTTGTTACTAAAGCCATTCATTATTTAAGTAGATGTTTGCTTTTCACTGAATAATTCATACATTCGCGGCAATATATTGACTTGCAGACGCCGCTACGCGCCTTACAGACTTGGCATGAAGACATTTTCTTTGTAAATATAGAGTTGCCGCTTAAAATTAGCCTTTAGGCAAAATTCCAACTAGTCGGCTAAGCGTAAAGACCACCAGCACGCAAAACCCCATGGTACTGTCTTCGGATTTAAAATAAATAAAAGTCTCACTTTCAGCTCGACCATATAATCAATGAAGTATTTATTTGGCTTGAATTATAGTTTATCCATCCACTCTTCTAGGTTTGGTAGATGTGCGTTTTGATTCAGTGATGAGGAATGGAAGTTGTGTCTTGTTCTTTGTGTCTTAGTATTCATGACTTTTAAAGGAAATTCCGCTTGGAACTTTAACTTTAGCGCCGTTATCTCGGCATGAACCGAAGGTTTTGTGACCTCGGCATGCAAAATCCTTCGGTGTCGTAGTTGAAGTCGACTGCCCTGCCCTCTTCCGGGAGTACCGTGAACTTCTGAAGCAACCTTGCTAGATAGAGGAAAACTTCTAAGTTGGCAAAGTTCTCCGCTGGGCACATTCGTTTTCCTATAAAAAAAAAGAAAAAGAAAAGTTAGAAATCTTTCAGTGTAGTCATAACTAAAAAAACTCAGTATACACCATTCTCTCAATTTTATTATTCACTGCCACTTGATGATAAAAACGTCAATATTTGGCAACCCGCTTTGAAAATCGCCCCAACCATTCGTAGACGTTTACGTTTTTTGCGATTTATGTTTTGTTAAATTGGTGCTAAGAATTCTTAGATCTTGTATCCTTAGACACGATGAAATGGGAGCTCATTCTTGTTAACGTTGTCTCTCGTACGTTGTCTCTTCTGGTTTAGATGCATAATGTATATTAGGAAAGATGTAGTGAACGTCATAATATGCTAATGCAATTAAGATCGCAGTATTATTTTACTCTTTTACGGAATTTTTGTAAATGGTTTGTCATACAGACGCAACATAATACACACAAACCTGTGCATTTCTTTACTGATACGATAGATCTAAAGCAAACTTTTCTTTATATATCACAGTGGTCACTTTTTAAATATTAATATTTTTGTTCCGATAAGAACACCGCGCTACATTGCCGACAAAATATAATAAAATTACGTATTTCTCAAAGGCATATCTTTGATAAGGTTGTCTTGTCAGTCAGTTCTCTTAAATCAACAGCTCCAAATATATTTTTTAAAAAATTGGCATGATGTAAGTGGTGGGGATTGTGGTGTTGTAGGTATTACCCAAAAAATGTCACGAAATACGTTACTTGTGAGATATAAACCAAATAAACGCGTAACCGACCAACCTTTCCCCAAAATAAAAAGAACACGCTTTAAGGATGAACTCCATGAAGCGATTATTCGGCGAATAACCGAAAAAACTCGCTCGGAAGCGTTCTCTCTTGCCGCGGCGTCACAAAACTGACTGTTTGCGGTATATCTGGCTGAGCTAGACATTGTTCACCCTGCGAACGCCACTACCGGAAACGGCCGACGCAAGGCGAAGGACACGGGCCAATCAGGACGTGGTACGCGGTTTGGCTTCCGCCTGTCTCCGATGCACAGTGTTACAGACCAAGCCTGCTGCCCGCAGCCCCATCAAGACAATCTCTTTCCCAACAAACACATCTAGGCTTATTAAAACTCAAAAGAACATTATTACATTACTCGCTTCTTCTAAATTGTTTTGCACTTCTTACGAACCTCACATGCTTAAACAAAACTTTATGAGTGGTTGGTTTCAGTGGATATTAACTTTCCCCCTTCACTTAATTTGGAAAGTAATCATGCATCAATTGTGCACGTGCTCCGCGTGAAACAACGATCAGCGGGGAACCAATTTACTGACTAGTGTTTGACACAGTGAGACGCATTCGCGAATTGCTGTCTCTGGTGTAACCGCTCGCCGCTCGGCAAATGAAACGTGGTCCTCCTGGTTCCTTCTGCTGCTCTTATCTCGGCACGTGCCAGTCGTGAAAGAGGGGAGGCATAGCTCGTATCCTTTTCACTCTCTCTATTTCTCTCTCGCAACTTCGCTCACTCATAAGCTGACGACAGTGTGCAAACTACGTGCTGAGTTTGACCAGTTGTCCGTCCCTCTTTCGGCACGTGATCATACGCACGCGCAAAGAAAATGGTCACGTGATGAAAGGAAACGGGTCGATTGGTCTCGCGTGAGCGTAGCTCCCCACCGCATGCCATTTTAGGAGCCTTCGGGGAGAGGCCACCTTAACCTCCGGCCCTCGAGGTCACTCGCGAGTACACCTGCGCCCGTAGCTGGACACCTGCTTTAGCAGGCTCGACCGGACTCGCGGAGGGGACTCAAGCACTGATCCGTGGTTAGTTTAGCGACAGGTCAAAGCTCAAGCGTTTCTCCCCCTGTCCAGAAAACACAATATGACTACGTTTACATGGAGGCGACTGCAGCGCATCGGACCCAGTTAACGAATCGAATCGGTCCATGTAAAAGGTTCAGATCAAATCGGATCCGGTCCGATCCAATCCGCTGGGACGGGGTGGTTCGAAATGGTCAATCCGAATCGAGACTCTCCATGCATACGCTAGTGGATCGAATCTAGTGCTCGAGGGAGGGATCACGGGAGCGTTGCGTTGCATGCCGCTAGGCAAACCGGAAACCTCGCAAACAATCGAAAGGGTACGAGGTTTGCGTTGTGATCCTTCGACATGAGGTGCCGCTACTGGTCGATCCGAATCCATGTAAACGCAGTGGTGGAAGTGGATCCGATTCGCTAACTGCATCCGATCCGCTGCTGTCGCGTCCATGTAAGCGTAGCCATGGATAGGACTGTAGCGGATTGAATCCAGTTAGCGTATCGAATCGCCCCATGAAACGGCTGCGATTCGCTCGCCAAACTCATCGAATCGAGTCCGATCCGATCCGTTTGAAGGGGCTAATTTGAGATTCTCAAGCCGAGTCGAGACCCTCGTGTGAACTTTAGCGAGTCGAATTGAGTGTCTGAAGAATGGGGGAGGGGGGAGAAGGAGGGAGTGGCGCAAGGCTAAGGTAACCTGCAAATTCCTCCCTCCGCATTGTGCCACCGTCCAGACCGCGTCGTCGCCGATGGACTCTACTAATCCCCCCCCCCCTTTTTTTTCAATTACAGGTCACGTGGGGTGCGCTGTAAGCATCCGACGTGAGGGTGTCGCCACCGGTTTATTCGAATCTATGTTAACGCAGTGGTTAAAGTGGATTCAGTGCGCTAACTCGATTCGATGTGCTACGGTCGAATCCATGTAAACGCAGCCTCAGTTTATAGAACACTTTCGTTTTTTTTCCGACTTGAGAAGATAATGGTCGAGATAATCTTTACACACTTGGATGCCTCCTTGTGCGTTTATTCTTATTTCTAATCCGGCAAACGCAATGAAGCAAAAAACGTAATATCCATTTTTTTTTTGTCCTGGTAATGCGGCGAGTATTGAAAGAAGTATCGAGCGCCGTGAAACATAAAGGGGCTATTAGATAGGGGATCAAGGGGTGGGGGGAATTAAGCAAAAAGTTTTGGGGAATTTTTCAGACCCTTAGACCTGGCTACGCCCCTGCTAACGTTTCGACACTGGGACAAAGGGCATAAGCCTTGGGAATTTTTGATGTGCGAGTGTTTGCGTGGGGCAAAGGCAGGTAAATTTTCGGAGCTACGTTGGATGTGCGCAATAATTCAAAGAACGTGGCACATAGAAACACGACAAAAGTTAGTTTCATTATATTTTTAGGATTTGGGAAGAGATGTAACGAATAACGTAACTACGTCGCGGCGTCCCGTGGTGTGCCCTTTTCTGACACCAAGGCCTGACGCCACCTGGTCACGTGACCAGGTCACGTTATGTGAGGTTACGTGACGTCACGACACCGAACGTCAAGTTTGAACGATCCCTGTTCAACACTAAATTCATTACTAAAACAATTTTGGTTCATACTTTGCACTCTAGAAAGTTCTTTTAAGCACCCCCTAAAAGCGTTCGTGGTGAAAAACCTGTAATGGGCTCTTTTAAGCTCTTTTTTTATGCAAAGTAGTTCTTCATCGCCCTGTTGCCATTCTAGTGCGCCAGGGGGCGATAGTGCTTGAGACGAAACCGTTCTTCACGAGCTGTAAAAATTCTTGAGGTGTTGAAGCACCTTTCAAGAACGGAACTTTTTCTTAGAGGCACGTAATAGGCGAGTTTAGCGATACGGTTCGCTGACACTTTTCTGACGTAGTTGGGGGTGCTCCTGAACAGAGCTGTAACTTCACAGAGGGGACGTAGCCTTATGGACTCATTAATGTCAAATTCGGTTCCCGCTAAACTTAGTAGAAACGTTTTTATCCCTAAATTAAGTATCACGTGACAGGGTAACCCCTGCCAACGTATTTTCACATTCTCAGAATATTAAGCATTTGGTGCTCTATGGTATATTCCTCAAACTTGTTCCGAATTGCGTTCCTATCTAAATGATAAAACGTTTGCTTCTGGCCGTGATTTTGGCTCCTTGCTCTGTCGGTTTCCAAAGTTCACAATTGTATCATAGTCGGAATACTAACCCGCTGAAAAGGGAATCAGCCACTCTGGCTTGGGGATAAGCCTCGATCCGTCCTTGGTGAGAAACCTCTCTGGTCGGAACTCCCCAGGAGCTTCCCAGAGGTTGGGGTCCATGTGAACTGCCCAGAGATTAGCCATGACCACCGTACCCGCCTTAATCAGGTAACCCTGGACGATGACGTCTTCGTCTGCTCTGTTGAAGAAATGGAGGCGAGCACATATCAGCTAATTTTGTTTTCCCACCGGTCATTTTGTTTTCTGTTTTTATGACAAAAAATGCAGCTTTTCATTCAGATCACTTGATAAAATTGGAAATGATTTAGTCATTTTTAGTAGACCTCTCTGTAAAAATTTATTCTCAAAGGAAGCAAGTACAAAACATAAAGATGCTAAAAACTACTCGTGTATACTTTAGATAGTGAGCTAATGAAACTCGACCTTGCATGATTATCTTAAGAAAGGTAAAGCATTTCAAGAAGAAAAAAAAGAAATAAAAGCTTGAGCAAATTTTTTAAAAAGAAAATCTACTCCAAAGCAGAACTATACATACTGTGACTGTTATTGCTCACACAAACTGAAAAGAATTGTTCCTGTTACCTTAACGTTAGTTTTGCTTCACGGCCGACTATATTGGCAGGCATATATTCAACTAAATATTATCAGCGCTTATTGATTTCCTCTCACATATGTAACTGTGTCCATTCATCTGGTCAGTTACACCGCCATGACGAAATTCACGTACAGAAATGCATCAAACTCACTCCCTCGGTATTCCCATCACCGAGAGTGTCCTCCACCGCTGCGTCTCCCAGACGGTGGCCATGGTATAAGGCATGTCGTGGCGGTCGGACCAAGCGGGTGCCCTCCTGCCCTCAGTCACCCTGTCGATTTCCTCTTGCACTTTTCGCTGCACCGTGTCCACCTTGTCGGCTAGACTGAGAAGGCTCCAGAGGAGGGTTGTGCACGTTGTCTGCGACCCGGCGGCAAAAACCGCCAGGGCGTTGCCAATCAGGTTGGGCACTGCGATGAACGGCACGGAAGCAAGATGGTCAGAGTGCATCTCTCACGACGTTCAAAACACCGAGTTTGAAACTACGCCTACAGCACAGTAAAAACTGTGTTCCGTTTCACCTCAGTCTGAACGCTGCCACCGAAGCCAATGTGGCCATTTACTATTCTGGAAGATTGTACACCAGAGCAGTTTTCGAGTTTGTAATGCATAACGTTGCAGCTAACTGGTTCAATGACCTGGCAAAGAATGGATCGTTACATTGCGCGTAGTTCGTGAGTTTGGGTTCGTGTTGGAACTAACTCTTTGCCGCGCTCTGTCTTCAGATGAAACGAAGAAAAGTCTTAAACGTGATTTTCTGCCAAGAAAACTGGGATGAAATATGTGTATTCTAAAAAGCTTGGCAAATCGCGAAGCCAAGAAAAACGTTTTCACTGAAAAATAAACTCTACAATTGACAGTGGGCATTATGTGAGTCATGCTCATGGCAGGATCCGTGTCATATTACGGAATTAATATATTAAAGTCTATTTTTCGGTGCGTAAACATTTGGCGCGTAAACAGACGCACGAGCTATGCAAAGAACAGGCGATCTTGCGCACCATACGGGGAACCGGTGTTTGATCCGCGGCAGCTCATCACAAGCAACAAACTGAGTACGCTTGAATCGAGCTACGTAATGGTGCTAAAATACTATTTCTTATCAAGAGTGCTTCCCCCTTGCATGTTTACTTTGCATTCGACTCGTTAGAAATTCATTTTCTAAATGACGTGTTCAGCTGTCGTGAGCGCAAATGTTACTTCTCATCGCCGCGATTTACCTTCTTTCTAGTGCACATGTTGTTTCTTTCGGTAAGCATGCATCACAACAAAGAACGCTTCATCAACACAGACATCAAAGGATAATTGACTGTTTAGGGTTAATAACTTATATGTATGATTACAAACATTTAAACAAAAATAATTGAAGTCTCAGTGTGCCCTTGTATCAGCACTAAAGTTTAGCATGCATAGTTTTTGTTTTGTTATTGTTTTTTTGAGAAGCGCAAACTTAGTAAAGCTCAAAACGCAACTAACTGTTAACGGGCTGTATATAGAAGGGGCATCAAATATTCTTACTGTTAAAGCTTGTATTTGGATCCGTTTTGTGCTCAGACATCAGCTGCAGATACCCGTCGATGAAACTGTTCACATGTGGTTCCCAGGGTCCCTTTCCGTCTAAGTCGTGTTCTTGACTGTTGAAAAATAAAACTAAAATTACCTGAAGGTTACAATTCAAAATAAATTACATATCTGTATTTGTTTTATTTGCCCAGGCGCGCTCCATAAAGAGGGAGGGGTAAGGTTACATCAAATAAGAGTATAATTAACACTTAAAATTCATTACTTTATGTTTAATGAAGTGAAACTTGTGTGTTGAACTTGCCACTGGTCTAAGCTGAGGCATGTATTCCAATGTCAGATATACAAGTGCATAAAGTGTAAAAGATAATTCTTTTAGGAACGACTTCTACAAGGTCACTAGAGTTTCGCACTCGCAAGATAGGGCAATTAATTTAACTGAGTGTACATAATTCGGGCAACTTTGAAACATGGCACTTCAATAGGCTCTATTGCCACTATTCGTTTTAGTAACATAATATTACGTTCCTGTAAAACACTTCTTACCCAGTATTAGACAGTTTTAGGGAGCCGGTTCTTGCGCGTCCGATACGCTCCGACGGGCCCTGCGGTATCAACTGTGCATGTCTTCTATGGCAGCGAATGCGCAGTTCGTACCGGAGGGCCCATCGTAGCGTATCGGATGTGCACAAACGGCTCCCTAAAACGCTCTACTGTCGGCGTGTCCGCCAATCGTCACCTGGCACCATGACGTCACGGGACGTCACGGTATCGCGTGACGTCATAGTTTCACGCAATTTGACGTAAAGGGACGACGCCACGTGACACTTTGAAGCCGGGTAACGAGGTCACGTGACACTCTGACGCTTCGTGCCAGGACAACGCCATCTAGTAGCTGCTGCGTCAAGTATCCGAGTCCGACGCGAGGATGCCGTCAGCGTTCGGCGTGAGCTCGGCTCAGCTCGGACCGAGAACGAGTGCTTCGTCAGTATTCGCGGAGTCCTCGGATCCAATCACACGCTTCGTTTCCGATGGATGGCTGGATGGTTGGTAATGGCTATACCCTTTGTAAAGGGCGGCAGCTTGCGCCACCTAGCCTAACATTTCGTCCTCCCTTCTTTTTTTTTTTTATTTCTAATGGCGACAGCCAATGTTGCTTGATGGATTTCAAAAAGGTTCTATAGCGGCGTAAAAATCCGTACCGCATGAAGTTTGTGAGCTTCTGAATGAGCGGCCTCAAGGCGCCGAATCTCGTGAAGCACGCGGTGCTCAGCATTCTGAAGCCCCTGGGCATGAACGTGATGACCGCGCCTGCGGCGAGGCACCTCATGCCGGTGTCCAGAATCTCGTCGAGCATCTTTCTCCTCGGGTCGTCGAAGTCGTAGCGTTGGCCGAACACGAGGGCGGTGACGTTGTTCGACAGGCTTGGAAGCAGGTACTGTTTGACGGGAATCGGGCTTCCTTTGACCTTCGAGATTCTTTCGACCAGGTACACAATCTCTGCCTGTCGAGGGAAAAAAAAAAAGAAACAACGTGATCGGGTTTTTTGGGAGGTTTACAACGGAAACGACTAACTGTGCTCATTCTCACCCCACGTTTTACGCGTAAGTTTGAAGTAGTTTTTCGTAAAGATTTGTTTTCCAGGGAAAATCAAATTCACATTTGCGTTTAAAGCTTGTGAGTTTTGAAAACTGGCACATAGATTCTTCTTAATGTCCATACAAGTACTTTAGCTTACTACATAAACACGGAAATTAGTGACGCTTTATGATGAGCTGAACTCCCTTACTACGGTAGATCTATATTGCATGCGGCATATCTATGTCACGCACTGTACACATTTAGAAAGTATCTAACCATGCGAACTTAATTTCACCGACTTACGCATCAAACACACGTGCTTTTCTCTCTTACCTAGGGTATCAATAAGTCTGTAACCGTTCTCCTATAGCGTCTGGTGCTCTTTCTAGACGTGATTTCCAGCAACAACTCAAACAAATTTTGAATTTACGAGCAAAGTGAATGACTATGTTGTGCAAGGATTATCTACGAGCCTTCTAATCACAAACGAACGTTATGGCTAGCTCACCTGAACCTGAGTTTCCATGTCTTTTTGCCCGTAGGCTGGGGAGTTGATCAAGTGCAAGCAATACTTTCTGTTGTCGATCCAGGACTTTCCATTTAGAGTCATAAACCCTGAAAAGTGAAGTACACTCTCAAAGTCAACAGCGCACCTCTGCCAGAAAGTTTTAGTAGCAGCATTCGGTGATTATTTCTTGGTTCTATTACAGCCTTTACCCGTTTCATTTGATCTAATTTATTTTAACCTTAAATACCCACAGAGGGCTTTAGATAAGGTGGGTGGGGGGGGGGGGGGGCGGGGGGCGGGGGCAACGAGACAATTACAATGGACACTGATTTACGTTTCTGACATACACAAACATAAGGTTAAATGGCGTGAAGAGTGGCAATGACTCATAGAAAAGGGTCAACTTCTTGGATGCAAAATAATTGTGCTAGTTATGAAACAAAAAGGCACACTGAAAGCAGACATGTAACGTTACCCCCCAAAATTAACTAAATACCGTTACTCGATGCTTGCTCAAAAACTAAGTACGTTACTCGTTACCGATTCTGAAAAGGAACGCGTGAGCTCAAAAGGAACGAGTTACTTTTCACGTTACTTTGACGACCAAATACACAACTGTTTTTGTTTCATGGTTTTTTGTTTTCTTTTTCAGTAGTAGTTGCACTTAAGCAGTAGCTGCATCTCGAAGTTTTCATCAGTTATGTTTCCCCGCTTCCTTGAAAATACATGTCCGGCAACGCCGAAGAGTCGTTCTACCGAAGCGCTGTTGTACTTAAAGCAGTATATATATATATATATATATATATATATATATATATATATATATATATATATATATATAATATGGTGTTTTAGAAAACTCGGGCCAAATCGCTCCTGCGAAAACTACTTATCGCAACGAAAAAAGGCTTGTGTCGTTTTGGACCTGGGCCAGGGGCTTATTTAGGAAAATTATTAAAATCCGAGATGATTAAGCGGTTCATTATTTTTGCGTTATTAACTCTTTAATGTTGTGTTTAAGGGCATGGTTTCAATTAGAAAATTGCTCAGCATCATCGAAAAGCACTAAATCAACAAATTGCAGAACGATAGAAGGCACGCGAAGCATTTTACGGCTTTCTGAAAAAGCGCACAAATTCGACGGGTTCTTAAAGGGGCACTGACACATCAAAATCATATTTTTTTTATTATCCGAAACGATTGAAAACGATGCCGGGACATTACCCTCAAAATTTGAAATTTGGGAGTTGAGTATTTGTGAAGTAAAAAAACAATTTCCAAATGCCGAATTCGAAGTTCCCGCGCGATCGGCGCCGGTGCCTTGACGTCAAAAATCGCGGAGACCTGAGGAGTCGACTTTTTTTCACCACTCCCTGCTGTTGCCATGGCGACCCAAAGCGAGGAGGAAAGGAGCGACTGCCGGCGTTGCGGCGGACCGGTTTTGAGCGGTGTCGCCTGTTTTCCGTTGGAGGATACAAATCCAGGAGACGGCACCACAACGAACTCCCGATTTTTGGTATTTCAAAAAGAAGGGCCGTAGTGCGTTCGCAATTGCGTTAAAAAACATGTTTTACGATTGCCGTAATTAAATGTTATAGAGATGTCGCCTACAAAGCTTCTAAATTTCCTGATTTTTGACGTCACCGATCAAAAGAAGCGAGGAGGCGAGAGGCGGGAAAATCAAACGCCAAAAATAAAAAGGCGCGCGCGGGAAAATTTTTTTTCGCGATGCGTTTTTTTTTTGCGTGTCTATGACTGCAACTTGCATCGTTTTAGACAATAAAAATAAATACGACCTTTGGGGTGTCAGTGCCCCTTTAAGTTTCGGTTTGCTATCGGAGCGCATCTCAGCCCCGGTGGCACCACGCCCCGTGGAGAGATAGTGCAACCAACCTCTGTTGCGCTGTCATCGCGCGACGCAGCAGAGGCTGGTTGCAATATCTTTCCACGGGCCGCGGTGCTGCCGGGGCCCAGATGCGCTCCGATATTAAACCGAAACTTAAAAACCCGTCGAGTTTGTGCGGTTTTTCAGGAAGCCGCAAAATGCTTCGCGTGCCTTCTATCGTTCTGCAATTTGTTGATTTAGTGTTTCTCGACGATGCTGAGAAATTTTCTAATTGAAACCATGCCCTTCAACGCAATATTAAAAAAGTTAATTACGCAAAAACTAATTCGCAGCCTAATTATCTTGGATTTTAATAATTTTCCTAAATGGGTTTCTGGGCCAGGACCAAAACGACACAAGCCTTTTTTCGTTGCGATGAGTAGTTTTCGCAGGAGTGATTTGGCTTGAGTTCTCTGAAATACCCTGTATATAATGTCCATGCTGTCCTCTTTCGCTGCTGTGGGAGGCAGAGGCTTGTCAAGCAACAACTGAATTCTCTGTCTCCCCTCTCCAAATGGAGAGAAATAAAGAGTTTGAGTTTCAGCAAGAGCTGGTGGATCTGGGATTCCCCTCTCTCTTGTGTTCTTTCTACTTCTAAAGTTCGAAGTTGGCAATGGATTGTGTCCCTTCCCGCGTTTACATTCGGCCCGTACCCGGTTCTAGAAGGTTCAACCAACGAACCTTATTGCGTTCGCTGGGTGAAGGACATTCCCAGCTGTACAGCAACGTTTATCGCTGGACACGTGAGTCGAACTGTTCGAGCGACGTGCCCAGCGATATACGTTGCTGTATTGTCATACTGTTTAGTCGTTTTTTTGGGTTGCCCTCCTACCGGTTCTCGCAATAGACGCATACTCAGGTTAGGATAAAAACAAGGCCGCTTAAGCGGTGTTGTACACGTTACTCGTCATAAGTAACAAGATACTGTTACTCGTTACTAGGCCTTAAAAGTAACTAAGTATGTTACTCGTTTCTTTTCTAGAAAAGTAACTAAATACGTTACTCGCTACCGAAAATAGTAACTAAGTAGTAGTAACCCGTTACTTGTAACGGGTTACGTACATTTCGGACTGAAAGTGAACTTTAGCATACTTGCCATGCTTGAAGTATACATTGTTTTATCGCTTTTGTGTACTTTGTACTTCAGGGGTGCGTTCTGTTTGTCAATCTTGTCTGGCAGTTAAGGTGTACGTACTAAGACTATGTGGTTAATCACTATTATATTAATATAATAAAAATACGCTTCAAGAATACTCTAACAGGCTTTTGATAAAACTAATGAATTAATACCCTTTTAGTTCATTACTCTTATTATTGGCGATACCTACATTTATGCCTGCCAAGGCTATTCGTGCATTGCAGAACGAATGATATATTCTTTTTCGTTGGGTTTAAAGTCATGTTGCGTTATAAGAAAATTGCTTGGCTCACTTGGTCCTCCACAAACCTTTGGCAACTAGCAGCCTCCTTGCCCTACCCAAACATGAAATCAGTCATAGGGGCATTAATTTTCCGTAGGTTGCAAGTAGATTGGAACAGAAAATGTGATAATAAGCTTCACTTCATGAAGCCCATTCTTTGATTGTGGGAGAGTGCCTCTTTCAATAATCGGTTCCATTAAAACTTATTATGTCGTTTTTTCATAAGCTATTCTTATATTATGCACAAATATCTTTTTTCTGGGGATGACCCACCACGGTGTGCACGCTGCGGAGGTGTTGGGTACAAACTTTACATTGACTAATTTTTTTCTGGTCTGATGAAGAATGACGGCATCGATTTCTCCAGCTTTCTAGATATCCTACGCCATTTCACCCTGTCTTCATTTTACTGGGAGATGACCCTCTCTTCTCATTTAATCGTGTACTGTGTTTTGATTTTGCACGGGCCTTTTACGCCAGTTCTAATATCACATATATCGGTGGGGTCAAATGTCGTACTAAAACAATGTGATGTATCATTCATTTGGCGCACTCTGTATTTGGACCATTTTGCGCCCTAAAATCCTTAATCATTATCATCATCAACATCTACGTTGCTTTTATTTGGTGCTTTTATGTTAGCAGCCGTAAGGCGTTGCACGAATTGCTCATCCTCAGCATGAACCAGTCTTCAACTTACAGGTATATTAGCTGCCTCAGCATCCAATGTCTAATTTGTAACAGCAGTCGTTCGTACATTCCCGTCATGTCAGTTCGTTGAACGTGTCAGATGCCCTTGAACGTGCCATTCGGCTGCAAAGACCTAATGGAGTACTTTACTGATATTTTAATTACCTCATAGCGTTTAAAGTTACAGTTCGTCAAGCGTTACATCTTGAGGACGTGCGCCTGTGGATATATCTTCACATAATTGCTAATTTTAAAGAATATAAGAAGAAAACGTGCTTTCCTGATAAAACAAAAAACAAAAAAAAACTCGTACTTGTATGAGTGGAGATTGAAAATTGAAATGATTTAAATGGTGAATTAAGCAATAATTTAAATTTTGATTTAGATCAGACCCAATTTACTGTAATGATTTAAACAAACTTCCTTCCTGCAAAAAAAAAAGGAAATAAAAAATCTTCCGCAAACATATTTTATGTTTAGGGTTTAAAAGCGCTAAAAACGACGGACGAGTAGGAGAGACACACACCACAGAGCGCTACTTGGAACGGGTTTATTATTGGAAAAAACACACGTACCGCGAAACCAATAAGACACACATTCGGTTCAGTTCCAACCGCCGCTTATCACATTTCGTACTCTTGCACCGTGCATGATCGTAAAAACGATAACTCCGCTTCAAACAGGGTTATCGATGGGGCACTTACACACTTGACAAGGGTACGTGTGTAAGTGCCCCATCGATAACCCTGTTTGAACCGGTGTTATCGTTTTTACGATCATGCACGGTGCAAGAGTACGAAATGTGATAAGCGGCGGTTGGAACTGAACCGGATGCGTGTCTTGTTAGTTTCGCGGTACGTGTGTTTTTTTTTTTTCAATAATAAACCAATTGCAAGTAGCGCTCTGTGGTGTGTCTCTCCTACTCGTCCATCGTTTTCAGCGCTTTGAACCCCTAAACATGTTCAATCAACTAGCCCAAATCCAAACCCTTCTGCATATTTTATGTATCATTTATCTATTACTTGAGGATTTGTTCCTATATGCATTTATTTATATTTAAACCAACCAATTATCAGGGAAGAAAGATTTATACATGGCCGAACACGAACAAAAAGCAGTGCTCTTCTGAGCAATAAGAACACAGAGGTTTCTCCTGGCCGTCCACTTCGTCCGTCAGTTACGTAAAACGAATAAAAATGCTAAAGAAGGAAACGAAACGTAGAAACGTCATCTCCTATAGAGCAAATCAAAATTAGAGAAAGCAACCAAAGCTTTCTCAGTCACAAAAAAAGTAAAGCTCTTTTATGTTTAAGATTTGTTTTAAAATTTATTTATATACCTTGAGGATCCGTTTCTGGGTTATAGACATGGCGGGTTTACATCCGTGAATTGATGTCTACCTGAACCTTACATTAATTATTGTTTCAGCAATATTATCAGTGTATTGGACGGATTGACCAATTGATCTGTTATGTTTAAAATAAATAGACATCCGAAAATCGCTATTTTCGACATGCAGTGATTTAGACAAAATTAATCTGAGTTAAATCTAATAAATCTAGTTTAAATCAAACTAGATTAATTTATTTTATTTAAAAGAAATTCGCATTGTTTTCTTCCCTGGCTCGTACTCACCTGCAACTCCGGCTTGTGTCAGGAAAAGTTTGGGCGTTCTCGCCAATAGTTGTTTCTTCGAAAACGCTTCCTGGACGCTTTCGTAGTTGTTGAGTATAACAACGTTCACAACTCCCAGACGGACACTGTGAAAAACAGTAGCAACTTCAGAAAATCGCAGGCATAATTACACCAAAGATTTGTAACCTTGAGGGTTATACACCCTAAAAAGTGCCCGCGCGCCCACCTCTACGCAGAGCGCTAGAAGAGGCAATGACAGGGATCTATGGTGGACAAAGGACGACGTATAAAGGGACGTGCAACAATTTTGGGTAGAAATTACGCTAATTAAAAAAAAATAATCTTATTGACAGTAATGGGACCCAAGTGCACTAGGACGCAATGCCTTGTTTCTCACCGCGAAATTGCAAGGATGAAAGCGGGCGTTTTCTTTCAATCCTTTCTTTGCAAAACTTGCTGACGATGCTGTAGGGATAGCGAATGGTCGGCACGGGTGACAATACAATCCTTAGGATTTCGCATTCAAGCTTTTGCCATCCCCGCGGTGACGATATTTGAATGCATCTCATTCAGTCGAATCGAGCGTGCGTGAGCATGCGATTTGGTCGCGCCTGATAATCATTGCCTCAGCGTGCACTCGGGTGGCTCGTGCCAGATCGTCGCCACGACGGGAATTGCCGAATCTTAACAATATGTGGGACTCAGCGCGCGCCCGGTGCTTTGCCGACCCCATGGCGCGGCTATGATCAACATTGTCGACACATAGTCGGCTCTAAATCACGTGGCCGCTAGTTCTGGATGCGAGTTGCGGGGGTGAGCGCTGCTCGTCTTCCTCGATTTTTTTTCTACGACTACCATTGCGTATCCGAGAAGAAAACGATTGTGTGTTTCGTGGTTTATGAACGGAAAACACCAATTCTAAGTGGTACCTACTCAAAATACAGGGATTGTTGTATCTCTCCTTAAAAGCGTTTTCGCCGCCAACTGACGCCGGCAAAGCAACGTCGAGCATGTTGGTTGATGGACCTTTTACGCGACAAGACACCATGCGGCATAAACGCGAAGTGCGGTTGGCGTCCGGAAAAAGAGTTCTGCTACCTCTCCCGTCTTTCCCGTGACTCGCCTGAGTCGCGGAGGAGGCAAGAGGGCTAGCACAACTTTCCGTCCCGATGCCGAAACCAAAGTTCGAGCTATTGCCGCTGCGTGAGAAGAACATTCACTAGCGCAAAACTCGTTTTATTTATTTATTTTTTTTTGGGGGGGGGGGGGGGGTGGGGGGGGGGGAGGTTTATTGCTGATGCAATTCGCAGGATTGCGTCGCGGAGTTTATTTGTACGATGAATTCTTTTAATGGTGCCTTTCGTGTGTGTGTCTTTGTGACCTTTTCGCTTCCGGTTAAAGTGAGCGTGTTATAATTATAGATATTTGAAATATAAATAATAAAAAAGAGGAGTACATTAGCCGACAACCACATTCTTTTGAAGGAGTGGAGTCGTCTATGACCGCTTTCGTTGTTTTAATTCCTTGTATTTCAAGCATTCTTCGCTTCCTTTCGTCTTCAAAACTCAGAATTAATATTCTCATTTTTTTTCGTACGTAATAGAGCGACCAACTGGGACCATTACCATCCCTTAACCTTTTCGTCTTAATGTTTTATCCGTTTTCTTCTCCCTCCTCCGCCTCAGTATATCACAGTGAATGGAAATTCGAACTCTCCGGGGGAAGTAGTGCACCGCACGTGTATTTTTGTGGTGCAATCTGGTTGTACCTGCCGATATCTTTACGTAAAACTCTGCAAGAAGAACCCGCACTTTCACTGAACTTAAATTTAGCCAAGACACCTAGATGTCCAAATGATCTAGGAATATGTTCATATATGATTGCAATGCTCTTTCATGTGGGCGGTTGCTTGCGCTACCCAGCGGTTGTAGTAACTCTTAAACTCGCAGCAAGTACCTGTCCCACGACGTGGGTTGCTTATTGATAAAATTAGTATATATCGAAACTTTAGTATTGACTTAAAAGATGCGAGATAATTTGGGCATGATACGCTTGTGTGATTGAAGGATTAAAAATATATACTTCGTTTTTAAGTCTTTTTTTTTTTCACACACGACGCCTGTGTGTGTATTCTCTTTTCCCGAAATCTAAACCAACAGTTCAACATTTTTTGTTATCGCTTTTTCTTTCGTGCTCCACTCAATTCCACTGCTCATTTTTATCAACTAATTCACCAAACCACCAGCTAGCGCCCCAACCGGCCGCCCAACTCATTCACAGCTAGTCTCCGGAAGGAGTTTAATGGGCGGTCATCAGCCTACTTTGCTGCAGAAACATGAGAAAATTGTCACCTGAAAATTGGTCCATATTTCTGTGCCAGGTCTCTAAAAACCACGTGCTGTTTCCTTCGTAGAAAAGGGAGATAGCCAACCAATGGAAGTCCCCAGGGGCCTGGCGGCAACGACTGGCTCGGAGTTTTGTGCTTTCGGTTTCTTTGCATCCAGGCCGCAAACACCACTAAAAGCGAAGCGCTGACCAGTGTTGTGAGAACTGTCAAAGCATAACGTTCCTGTAAAAACATCAATTTTTTTTTAGTGCAACGAAGTTTTAAACATGTAAAAACATTGTAGTTCAATGACGGTTTAGCGCGTAGCACACAGCTAACCTCCCCGCGATAGCGACATTTGTACAATGACGTTTGTGCTTAAACGTGTAAAACATGTTGTAGTACAATGTCGTTTTACGGCGTAGCAGCATCCAACACCCCCACAGTAATGGCATTGACGTTCATGCCCAATCTCAAACCCCTTGTCGTCCATACACAGCACTTAAGGTGCAACCCCACCGTGCATGACGTTTTGGTGCTTTTCCGACGGCTTATAACTTTCTTTCTATGTATCTTACAATTATAAAGTTAGTGCCAAATTAAAGAGCAGATTTTCAACAATGCTTTAATGTCTTGATATTAGGATTATTTTTAGTTGTTAGTTAATTATTTGGCTTTTAATAGACCACAGTCTCTAATATTAAAACAATTATTTCTCGAGTTATAACGTCCCATCCTCCACGATATTTTACGTGAGCGTTCTAAGTAACGAACTGTACAGATAATGTATATTGTAAAATAAAAAATAAACTTTAAAACTTTAATATTGTATGGCGCTATAAAAACGGAATCACGTAAACTAATCAAAATAACGAGACATTAAATTATGAAGCATCCTTCGATATTACATTTTCCAGAAATTTCATATCGATATATTACAGGTTAAGAATGTTATAAGACCTCAAACTTTTCCCATTCAGTTACGGCGAATTGTAGTTTCTTAATATAAAGTACAGATGGCGACACGTGTTCAAGAACAGCTTGATGTGCATTTTCCGTCGTGTGCCGCTTGGAACGCCACGTAAAAGACAGAAAAAGCGCCAGATGTCAGGGTGTCAGATGCCTGGATGCCCGCAGTGTGCGAGCCAGAGATGTGAAAACAACAAGCGTGAGGCTGCGGGTGCACCACAGCTACTTTTGTGCGCGTTCTACTGTGCGTCGGTACACATACCCGACGCGATCCAAATGAAATGGGCGCCATGAAATGCATTCTGCCATTTCAGATTCCGCCACGTATGCGAAACCATTTTAATGTTTTCATCACTTGCATAAATCATTTATGATGTCAAACTATGCTTGTCGGAATGGTTCGACTATATTTTGTTTCAAAAACCACCTCGGTGGCTTTTAAGTGGCAATGACATTAAAACGTCTCAGTTCCTCTCAGCCAACGCGCTGGCCCATGAATCTATATTTGTCGGGTTTAAATATCGGCCGAGGTGCCCGCAATCCGACGGAGGCCAATCTGAGATTTCGGTTGCACGTCAAAAGATCTGCGGTTAGTCAAAATAAACCCGCAATAATTTTTTTTTTATTTGGGCGTGTTAAGTGCTTTTTGTTGGTTTGGCTTGTGAAACCCTAAGATCTGAATATTTGCTTTGCTTTACCTTAGTTCGGAGCGCAACCAACGCTACGGGCTGATGAAGCCACTGAAGCAGCGCCAAGAGCGCGAAGTTAAGCTGTTCGTCTGTTTTCTGGGCCTACGCGGTCGGGCTAAGCTAGACCCACTAAATAAGCTACGCTTCATACAGATATGGATGCTTAAAATGATGGTTGTCAGTTATCTGAAGCTTTATCTGAAATCACAAGAAACGCTTTTCCGTCCTCCACAAATGTTTAAACAGTTGGTGACAAAGCAAAGGAATATTACGTGAGCTTCCTGACACCGAAACTATTGCTGAGGAAGTCGCACTTTTGAATCATGATGACCGGCAGTTGCATTTGACTTGTTACTAACCACCAACATGGCGGCGCCCAAAACAATATCAGGGGAAAAATTGCCGATGAAGTGTAGCTCATTTAGTCTAGCTCACAGGATAAATCAAGTGCGGTGGGGGATTGTTGGCCGAGTGTGTTGTGGCACCGCAGATCAGAGCATGTGGAGATATGCTCGAGTGCGAGCTCCGTTCAAAGCACGGAGCTCCCGCTGTAGAGCGTGTAGGGACTATATCCCCTCGATGTATTTGCGTTGGTCTTTCAAATAACCTCAAAGGTGCCAATGCACGAGGCCCGTGTCTCGACCGGCCCTTGGACACAAATGGCGACGCAGCACTAATACATTCGAGTTGCCCGTGTGGCACGCGTGCCACACGGGCAACTCGAATGTCATTTACAACGAATGACATTCATGTGATCAACGAATCGGCTCGTGATCTGTCGCGCGTGGAACGTCCCACGCTCAAAGTGTCGCGCGCTGATTGTCCGATCCTTCGAATGTCATTCGTTGTAAATGGAATTCGAGTTTCCCGTGTGGCACGGGCACCGTAAGCATGGGCACGGGAGTCCTAATCGAGTGGCCGTGGCATGGGTATATAATTACTGGCCCTTGAAAGCGAATGGCGGCGGAGCGCCCGCTCGTGGCACGTGTCTTGCGCGTTTTCACAATAATGGTTGGCGATACCTGCAAAACGCGCCTTTATCAAGGTGCTTTAGCAGGGACCCTGGGTTCAGTCGCCCATCTGCATCATACCGTCGTGCGATCGTGTATCACATATACTGCGTAATGCACGTTAAAGACCCCGAGCTAACAGTTGCACTGCACCTTTTATAACCTTCATCGGGTAACAATGTCGTCCTTTGCTGCTCTCTAAGAAACTAACGACTAATTTTGAATGCGCCGTTACATCGCATTTTTAATGTGTGTTCGTGTTCTTTTTTATTTTTTGTCTACATCTTTGATTATGTGGCTCTTACTTATAATGAAACAGACTATAGTTGTCAGACTTCTGGAAAAATATTATATAACTAAGAAAATAGCACGTGAACGTAAAAGTTAAGAAAAAAAAGAAAAACGCATAGGCGCACTTAATAAAAATAATTGAAATAATAGAATTGATTATAATTGTGTTTTCAGAGGTTTGGGCGCCCCAAACGCTATAAAAGCGAGCTCGGTGCTTTGGATGGTGCGCTTGTTCCAGTGGGGGATGGTTGAGCGCTCCAAACGCTATAAAAGCGAGCTCAGTGCTTTGGATTGTGCGCTTGTTCACTGGAAGCGTAGTTCATGACAGTATGCTCGCACTTGTATGTTCCGCTTCGCTCGCAGGATAAAACCAAACACTTTGTTCGTAATGCATTTAGTGAAACAAAGCTTACCTTCTGTATATGTGCAATGACCTCAGTTTTCGCGTGATTACACGCTTGTTTATCATTATTGTTTTCGTTTCCCACAGCGATTTAGTTCGTGCTCTTTTGTGTGCTATATGAATTATCAGAGACCAAGTTAACCCAAGAGCATTCTTTTTCGCGGATTCTAAAAAAAAACAAAAAAACTATGCAACTTGTTACGTGTGCCACAACCAATGGAAAATATTCTAAGCTTCACATATGACTGCTTGCCTGACTAAACATTGTTGTTTGTCAAGAAAAATTGCGATCGTATGAAATCACGTGGGAAAAACTCGTTCTAAGCACGCGACCGTTGGCATGCAGTGAATACTCATAATCGGCGTCGAGATGATTGGTGGCCGTCAGCTGGTGGAGTTTTTCTACCAACCCAGAGTTAGAATGTTTCATTCTTTCTGTTGTAAGCAATCAGGAGACAACTTGCACCAAATCTGAAGGTAATAAATTACTATGAGCATTCAAACACAATGGTTTGAGCAGTATATGTGTACAAGCTTTAGCTTTTGATGCACCCTTAACTTTTGACACGCTCAACGCTAGCGTAAAACGTAGGGCCGTTTCATTCTTAATTAGCGTATCATGTGCGTGCTTACACTATATTTTATACAACGTCAAAGCCTACCCGTTTGCATCGTTTTCATTTTCGCACACCACTACTTGCGCGGATGAATCACCAAATTAAGACTGGCACTGGATGTCACAAAAACTATTTACATGGTTGTTTTTTTCAACGCAAAAATAAACTACGCATTGCCTAACGCTCATTCTCCGCCCAAAGGTAGCGCTTAGTCACAACCAGATGCCAAAGTTTCAGACCGAACGGACACCTTATTCAAAAGTTATAAGTGATTTTCTGAAAATTCCAATGGGAAAAATGGAGCCCATTTTTGCCTGTTTTTCGTTTCTGGTGCCATAGAGCCCCATGTATTCGAAAACTCCGTCGGCCGCTATTTTCCCATTGAACTTTCCAGAAAATCACTTCTAATTTTTGAAGAAGGTATCGTATTGGGCTGAAGCTTTGACATCTGGTTGTACCTCTCGCGCTACCTATGGGCGGAGAATAAGCGTTCGGCGATGCCTAGTTTGTTCTTGCGGTAAAAAGAAACCTTGTATTTTTTTTATGACACACTGCAAGTTGCTTAAACTATATGCAAAAGCTATCAACAGACCCAGAATCTGCCTGGTCAGTCATTGCATTTATCACCGAATTCGTATTAAAATGAATAGTTATTCTTTATTGCTGTGAGTTTATTTTTAACCTCGGCATTTTTTATTATGACCCCCACACCAGTCCTACTTTGGGTTTACCAAACTCAACATCTAAACCTGACTCATTTTTTGTGTTTTCCAGTCTCGTGGTTTGGGTAAAAAAAAAACACCCAGCTACCTAAATGAGACACCTGACCGCTCAAAAAATAGTCTTTTCTTTTAGGTAGTTAATTCCTCAAGCTATAATTTTGGAAACCAGACTATGAAGTCATTACGTTCTGCTGAAAATCCACAAGATCCAAACGCATGCACGATAAAAGGGCCTGCCCGTCATATTGCCGCCCGCAGAGCCGAGAAAGCAGCGCTCGGTCACGGACTCCTGGAAGATTCGCGTTCATTCTTGCACCCAGACGGAACTTTCGCCTTGTTTTCTTGTCCTCGAAAGTGCCAGTTCATCCTCGCCCCGAACGCGCGATGCTCGAACCTTCTTTGCCGAACTTTCGAGATGGTGACGTGACGCACTCTAGATAAGCAGCTGCCAGCGACCTTGTCGAGTCAGTCTCGCTCTCGCTCTTGGTTACGCTGCCGAATCGCCGCCTGCTTTTCTGCTGCGTCAACGTTCTTTGTTTACT